TGAAGAAGGCATTTGACATTAGCAGGGCTGTGCCTGGGCGCTGGCAACAGGGGGGGGGCTGCTGTAGGAGTCTTCCTCATCTGGGGGCTGAAAAGGGCTCGTCTGTGCTCGGAGCCCTGTGTTGGTTCATGTGCGGAGGACTTTATTTGCAATGTCTGCTTTAATAATTGCTGTACTGGGTGCCCTCGGGCCGGCAGTGGGACTGAGGGGTCTCTGAGGAGAGGCTGGGGCTGCTGCCTCAGGCCGGCGGCCCCTGGCAAGGCACAGCCCAGCCCCTCAGCCCTCAGCGATGGCGCTGCAGTGAAACTGAGGTACGAAAGGGGGAAAATGCTGGAAAAGGGAATGAGAAAAAAAGTGAGGAACAGCCCTGTGAGCACGGAGGCAGATAGTCCCACCTGTGAGGAGGCCATGGTTGGGCAAGTATCCACGCTGCTCTCTGTGGGCTGTGGCGGGAATGTTTCCAGAAGGAACTCCCATTTCCCCCACGCCTCTCCAGGGGATGAAAGGCTAAGGTGGATTGTGGAAAAAAGGTGTGAGTTGGTAGTGTTTTACTTCCTGTTTCTTTCTAGTATCTACTTTATTTGGCAATAAATCAACTTTCCCCAAGTACAGTCTGTTATAAGTACAGTCTGTTACTCTTGTGGCGTTTTTCATCTCGTTTCTCAGCTGGCCACAGTCAACCCACCACAGTTGTGTGTTCTTATATCCAGTAGAAGCTTATGTACCAGTATAAAAATATTAGTGGTTTTGATAAGTTACTCATCACGGAGCTTGGACAGCAGACTTCTGGGCAGAACATGGTTTCTCTCTGTGTCTCTTCTGCTTTGCAAACACAGCTGGTGTGAGGGGGAAGCAAAATGGGAGGACACAAAAGGGACCCAATGACTTACATTTTGATCTCTCTGAAACAGTACTTTCATTATAACAGGCGGAGTACAGGGGTGTAAGTAGTTGGAGCCCTGAAGTGAGGGAACGATCGATAAATGGAGCTCTTTGGCACTTTTGAGGTGGGTGGCTTGGGTTACTGTGATTGGGGAAGCTCACAGCAATTTTTGTCACTGAGATGCTAGCCGGGAGGTTTTAGGATAACCACTGTTAGAGCCAAGAAAGACATTCAGTTTTTCACGCTGTGGAAGTCAGGACAGAGCGGAAAATAGCTGTTGCTTGTTGGAAGAGGTGAGCTGCTTCACCTCTGGCTTAAGGCAGCCTCGTTTAAAGGAGGCCCCTCATAAATTGCAGAGTAGGTGTTGTTGCAGCTGGCACTTGCAAATGTATCTCTTAAGATTTTGTTCATGGTAAAGAATTTTTACACGGTGAATGCTCTCTGTCTTTCACAAAAGCTCTGCAGCTTTTGCTGCAGTGGTATTCCAGGTAATGGGTTGGCAGCATATTTTACTTGGGTTCGAGATTAAGATACCTTTTCCGTGCTTGGCGTGGATTTTTCTGGACAACTTCTTTTCTGATTTTAATTGGGGTTTGGAGACTTGGTACCCCAAAGTTGTCATTGGGGTACCAATTCTGTCGTTGATAATTGCATAAAACGCAGAATATGAGCTCTGCCAGATTGCTCCCTTTTTTCCCATCAGAGAGCACTCGCTGAGAGATAAAAGGCTGTTTTTTCCAGTAGGGCTTTGATTAACTTTGTCATCCACGTAGAATTGAGATAACAGCATCTCTATAGGTCCTAATGTAGCTATTTTTACCTTTGGATCGTCCAATATGATAAGGCTGGAGGAAATGTTAGTTTTAGATGGAGGACTGGGATATTTTTTTTCCCCTTGCTCCCTTAATCATTCTGGGAGCGAAGCTGCTGTGTAGCCCCCAGTCTCTTCACATGCATCTTACTGCAGATAAGCGGGAAACGAAGGATTGAATGGATGTGAAAAGAGAATTCCTGCATCTGTTCTCTTGAGACCCAGAGAGTTATTCTGGCTCTTAAAGCTTCTGGCTTCGGTGATCTGGCTTTGGTACTTTTCATACTCCAAATACCGCTTACTTTGGAAGTGGTAGACAAGTCTGTCTCGACTGAAACCTGGCTGTAGTTATTCCGCACTTCATTGCCGAAGCGGTGAACTGCCGATTGTTTATCTGCAGGCAAACGATAGTGAGATCTGGTCAGCAAAGCTTGAAACAAGTTCTCCTCCACCCTGCCACAGCTTCAGTCCCGAGCCTCAGCCTTCTGGCACGTTTCTGCTTAAAGCTGTTGAGCTGCTGGCGTTGGATAAAGGGTTCAGACATTTCTCTCCATCTCAATTTCAAAACAAGAGCCACCCTTCAAGAGGAAAAATGACGGATGATTCCTTAAGCTCTCGCTAACCTTGGGTGTCAGGAGATGACTTTTAGGTCTCTGCTGACTTGGAGTTCATTTGTTCCTTTATTTTTTTTCTTTTCCTATACCAGTAGAGACTGTTTTCGTAGATAAGAAATTTCTGACAGCAGCACGTATTGCACGGCACGGTTCGGAACTGCAGGAGTGACAGATGTGTATAGTTTCACCAGCGTCTCTTTCTGTAAAACATAATGGCAGCGTACTCCTCTGGGGTTAATGAAACACAGAGTTGGTTCAGACCTGAACCAGGGTGAAAGAGTTGTCAAAGCGGTTAAATCTGGGGACACCTCAGCTTTTTGATGGGTCGCCTGATGTGCCCTGTTTGTTCTTCAACCCACTTTGCCTCTTCCCTTGTTCTTGCCTGTATTGCACGAGGGCAGGAGGCTTCTGGAGCTGTCAAATGCTCATGGCCTTAAGGTAAAGTCTTTGCAGATGCTAGCTGATAATATCTTTCAATTACATAGCTATTTTGCAATGGAATAACGCTAGGTTTAGTGGGTTTTAGGATTTTCTGAAAACAGCTACTAAGTTTTTGGGCTGCTGTGCAGATCTGGTAGAAAGGCAGCCTCTTGATGTGCAGTATTTCAAAAATAGATGATTAATGCCATGTAGAAGGGAAGAGTAAAGCAGTGAAAAGCACGTATCTGAAAGTGCCAGCTCTGCTGTGGGATCGGGTAGAATAAGTATATAAACAGCACTGACAAGTGGGTTTGTGTCTCATTGTATAAATTCTGCCCGCTTAATACTGGATGTGGTCTGATACTATTTTTAGAAGGATCAAAACTGAAGTTGCTGGTTTCAAATAGGAAAATGTCTTTTTTTTTTTTTTTTTTTTTTTTTTTAAACTACTTATAGAGGTTTCCCCTCCTTAGGTAAAGTTTGATTCTGAAAACTGGCCTACATGTGATGTGGCTTCTGATCACTGAAGCTTCTGACTCTTTTTCATGATATAATAGTGATGCCAAGACAGGGGAGCTTGATTTCTCTGCGATATGAGGCTGTATCTGTGTGCTTTGCTTGGATGGTTTTGAGTTTCAAACCTGTTTGTCTTCAGGTGTGTGTGGGTGGTGGGGGGCAGGGGGGGGTTGGGGTGAGTGTCCTGGTTGCTTAGCAGTAGCACGTGGGTGTTTGTCCAGACGACTTGCTATTTTTCAAATGTAAAAAGGCAAATTTGCCCTTTGGGTTCCCAACATGTAGTTTCTTCGGGTTTTTTTTAATGTTACTTCTGCCAAAACATGCAACTTCCCACTTAAGGTCAATTATATCTGTTTAATGCCCAGTTCTCTTTTCCTGTTAGCTGCCTGTTTGACTTGACCGTGGGAAGCTGAAATGCAATTGCAATGAGAAAAATTGAAAATTATTTGTAAATACAGCAGAAGTGAGAGTGAATTTCCAGAGCTGTCAATGCACTGACCACCTGGACCATAGGTCCTGCTTTCAGGACGGGCATAGCTGAAAATTATCCTTGATTTGCATAGCAGGCTTCAGAAAAGTGAAGTAGCAGCAGATAAAGCTATTTTAAGTAGATTATTGAAAGCAACTTGCAAAATATGGAGGTCTGGATAACTTGGCAGAGAAATAATCAACAGCTTGGGTTTTGTTTGCAAACTTCTGTTAGAAATTTACTTTAAAAACAAGCCCTACCTGTGACATACCTTTATAAAAATGCAGGTTTGGCAGCTGTATTTTAGGAATCAGCACGTAAAACAAAATCCCAGACCACAGGAAT